CACAAAGCAAATTAGAACTCTCCAAAACTCTTTGTACAATGCATATAGCATTGGAAATGATGCAAAGATGAAATAGGTAGCATAGAGAATTATAAAAAAGAATGCTGACAATTTCAAATAGTGAAAGAAACTAAAGAAAGAAAACCTAGAAACTAAAAAGAAAATTCAACAAATAAAAAAGTTACGGAGCTAGATTATGGGCAATTGCATGGAGATTGTCCATAAGAGCTGGCGAACTTTCACAGTCATTAACTATATTTTGAAGTCTCACATCACAAGAAACAGCTACTTTTTTTCTTTTAGGACATGGCTGTCCTTGGAGAATATGTTCACATTTATTTTCTATGTGACACTGCTCTTTTGAAAACTCTTCTGTGGTTTAATATACACCTACATGAGCATTCCTCATTAAGTTTTCCCGTCTTCTGTGCCATCCTTCCGTGTTGTTTCCGTGTTGTTGCGGGTCTGTGGAAATCTATTCCATACGCACACACATACAGACCACAGATCTGGTGGAAGCAATACTGGTGATTGAACTGCAACAATACTGCCCATCGTGCACATAACTGTTTTTGAACCAGTCAGTAACTTCGCTGGCTTCTTCAGGCAAATGTGGCTTTGATTCATTAAAAGCTCCTGGAATGCCATCAGAAGGAATGAATGCCAATACAGGCAAATGACGCATTTTTAAACTGAAGTTTTCGTCATTGCTGTATCACATGACCAGTCCACTCATCTGACTTTTCTGCCAAAGACATTGGACAGAATGGAAAAAACAAACTTTATTGGTAACACCTTGAAGTTTGCCTTTAGAAACCTCGATCACACCTAATTCCAAATCCGTCTTAATGGTTTGAGGATTCAATTGAAATCCATTGTCCTCTGCATAAAGACAATAACAAAGTAAATAGTTTCATCTAATGTGATGCAACTATCCTGTGATTTCGATTTTGGGGGTTTTTAGATGTTAGGGATTTAGACTTCAGAGGCTTTGATTTTTTGGAATTTCAATATTTGGGATTATAGATTTCGGGATTGTGGCTTTCGGGACTATAAAGAAAACCTGTCTAAGATGGAGATGTTGGCAGATTTGGTTTCTTTTGCGGCTTTGACCCTTGGCCTGTAGATGGCCATCTTCACCCTGTGTCTTCACGTGGTCTTCCCTCTGTGTGTGTCTGTGTCTTCATGTCCTCTTGTAAAGACACCAACTGTATCCGATTAGGGCCCATTCTAAGGATCCCATTTTAACTCAAACACCTCATTAAAAGCCCTTTTTCCACATACAGTTACCTTCTGAAGTACTGAGGGTTAGAACTTCAACATATGCGGGTTAGAACTTCAATATACGCATTTGAGGGGAATGTAATTCAGCCCATAACAGAGTCTAATCATTTATTTTTTAAATAGAAGCTATTTTTGTCTTCTCTAAAATATTGTAATCACGTGACAGCATGGCGCATGAACGTTCAGAGTCCACAAGAAGTCAGAGAAATTTGCAGACGACAGGGAAGAGCCTTGCATTTGAGATCAGGGGGCCCTGGGCTCTAGCTATATATCATTCACTTACAGGCACGGGCAGGTTTAGTTTCTCTGAACCTCTATGTCTTTACTTGTAAAAAGATGTGAATACTACAGGCAATAATAGATACAAAAGTATCTGGCATATACGAAGTATATCTTATCAAATCTAAGAAGCCATCAATTATAAAATGTTTCATTATGTTATTTGCACCAAAAGTGGCAAAATCATGCCAGGGGAGATTTTCAAATTACAGATTCAGGAGCCCTCCCAGCAGATTCACTGAGTTTGAATCTCCTGGGATGAAGCTCAAGGATTGTCATTTTGAAAAAATATTTTCCCCGTTATTCTGTTGATAGACTCAGAAGCCAGGACTTTCATTCAGCATGCTGTCAGTCAATGTGCTGAAAAACCGAAATTTTAATTCTAAGCTGCCCTCTTTGGAGCTACTTATCGTTTTCTCAGATATTCTATAGGAAGCCTGGATTTCCGCCCTTGCCAACAAAAAGTCATTGCCCAAATTCTTTACATTTTCTAACCCATTCATTGAATTCCAGAAACTCTAGCTCATAAGTTGCATAAAATAAATACTTTGGTAGAACACGTACACCAAAACCTGTTCCCGTGGTAGGAATGCTGCTTCATTTACCCTTAGTAGGCAGCTCTCTGATCCCTTTCCCGGACTATAGGACTATAACGTGCGGGTGCTGAGCCCACCTCGGTCATTCTACACTTTCATGATTCTAAATGATGTCAGTTCCCTGTATGCATTTTTAAAATCATTTTTGCCAAACTTTTAAAAAACTAGTTGAACCCTTTTAAATATTACTTTTTCTGAATATCTATGATTAAATTCTGAGTAACGGTAACCTTATTATGAGCACAGAAAAAGCAAATGTCAAGATTATTAGAGCTATTTTGAACTCCTTGACAATCTTTTAGGTCTAGTAAACTACCTAACCGCCTCCCAACGACATCATTTCACAGTCTTCAGATCCACATGTATATGCTCTATGATCTCAACTGAGTCCAAGCCCCTGATTTCATAGCTGAACAAACTGATGCGCCACCCCTCCACCCCTCAACCCCCACCCCTGAGAAAGTAAGTGACTTCCCCAAGGTCACATCCAAGCTGGCCTATAGTCACTGAGCCCAGTTCTCCTATTTGCAGCCTAATGTCCCTTCCAGTCCTCCCACCCCTCATGGCCCATGATCTGTTAGTGACACTTCAGGGAGATTTCCCAAAAGCATCGGACAATATGTAGTCTAACCGAGCAGAAAACTGCCCTGAATCACACACAGATCATTCCTGAGCCACGTAGTTCCTGTTTTTATGCAGATTTCCTCTGAGCCTTGGCTAACTCCCAGGGAAGCGCACATATCAGCTCTGCTATATATTGGCAGAACTTTGGCTTAGAACACATCTCGAATGCTTTCCGTTGAACATTGGCAGCCTTGAAGAAACATGGCTAGAAAATTATTCCAGGAGGCCTAATTGCTCGGTGACACTTTACAAGGAGAAGCTGATGGCTTTCTCGCCCAAGCTCTTCCCTCTGTGCCCAGAACAAATGACTGCAGTTCCCAGTATACGCCCTAAATTAGGAGAGGGCAAACTCAGGGGCAGCATGAATTGAGGGACTGTCTCTACTGGGCAGGGGCTCTCTTCCCAGCATGGTGTGCATTTTGCCAAGCTCTTTCTCCTTCAGTTTTAAAACCCTGTGTATTCCAAGAGAAATGTTGTCCATGTGTTTCTGATTCACTTACACTTAAATCATTCAAATGTTGTTTTGTGAGAGTGATTTACTGTGTGAGGACCCGGTGAGTCTTCTTAATGGGAATGTTAAAAGCTTTTTTTCCTGCGCTGACTGAGACAGAAAACATGTTGCTAAAACAGTGCCTGAGTTCAAACATATCCTCCCATCTCATATACTTGTACCTGCATTATCAACCACAGCCTCTCGATTATGCCAAGGTTGGCAAGGCTGGCATTCAAAAGTGTGAAAATTAGAGAAACTGGAGAGAAAATGGAGTAAGAAGTGCAGTGAGAGTCAAGCCACTGTTTCCCAGAACGTGCCAAAGGAACGTTATCTGAGGGTAGAGAGTGCCTGTGTCTGCAGCTTTGGTGAGCGTGGCTGGCAGCCCTCTCTCTGATACTCCCCTGGACACTTCTACAAGCACAATCTTATTTAAGCCTCATAGTAACTCCCATTTTCCAAATGAAGACACAGAATCAGACACGTTAGGTATTGTGCCCAAAGTGCACAGCTGTCTTGGGTAGAAAGGAAAGATTACAGCTGAGTCTAATCTTCTTTTAAAATGGCTCAAATTGAGTTTCTCTGTGAATGCTGTGTGTGTGTGTGCGTTTGAAATTCCATATGCATTATAAAATGTTAATGAGTAGCAGTGTAATACAGTGGCTAACACTTCCAATTCTGCCTCTATTACTTTCTAGCTGTGTGAACTTGGGAAAGTTACTTAACCTCTCTGGGCAATTTCCTCTGAAAAATGAGAATATTACCAGCCGTGTATACAAGATATAAAGATGACTGAAGAGAATTGATTTATTAAGTGCTTGGAGTAGTGCCAGACACATAGCACTCAATAACAGTTAGCTTCTAGTGGTCGTGGCAGTGAGGAGTAATGAATAACTGGATGATCTTGGCAAGCGGCATATTCTCTCTGAGCCTTAGTGTCCTCACTTGTAAAATGAGTATAACAGCAGCACTCTCACCAGTTTGCAAAAGTAACTGAGATGACGTTTGTGCCTAGCACTGTGTCTAACACAGAAGAGGTGCACAGTCAAACTTAACTTCTACACCCAGATATGCCGCTCCCTGTTCAGTGTTGGTTTGTTGTTGCTGTGGAGGGGGTAATTTTCTTATTATTCAGCTCATCTTAGATCTAGTGTTGATTTCTCCAGAAGCCATGGGTATACACATGTATACAGGCCCAGGTCTTTCTATACCCCTGGGGCAGTGAGATTTCTTACATGATGGGCCCTCTCTGGGCTGGATTAGAGCCATGCATACTCCAAGCCGGTAAATAGTGCCACAGGTATTGCTTATGGGAAGGAACAACCAGCCAACTTCAGGACTTGATGCTCCCCCAATTCCGGGGCCAGTGGCTCCGTTCACACAAAAACCTGTCGGCATTTGTGACTCTGATCATGAGAAAACCTGTAGTTATTTGGGGCTCTGCTCACAAGGAAACCTGTAGTTATTTGCAGACAGAGGCTCTGGGATTTAGACCTTTTTTATCTTCTAGTGTGGGTGCTAGCATTGCCTTCTTAGTTGGTTGTTTCTATTTAATTGCTTTACTTTCATGGGTGTCCTGAAGAAAAGCAGAAAATTATAGTCATCTGGCAAAAAAAAAAAAAAAAAAAAACTAAAGAGAAATTAGACTTTGTCCCCTTTCACTCTCATTCTCCACACACACACATACACACACACACACACACACACACACGGAGTGATACAAATACCTGCTTGAGCCCCTCAGTTATTTTCTCTCAAGGGCTGAAGTCGGTCACACGGGATAAAGGAGGGAACAGAAGGAGCAGATCTTTTCGGGAAGAAGACACGTTTTGTTGTCAGGTTCCTGGGAGTGCAAGAGCACGCCAAAGCAGAGAGAGAGGAGAGAGGAAAAGCCAGAGGGAGAGAGGGGGAGAGGGGATCTGTTGCAGGCAGGGGAAGGCGTGACCTGAATGGAGAATGCCAGCCAATTCCAGAGACACACAGGGACCTCAGAACAAAGATAAGGCATCGCGGACACCACACCGGGCACGAGCTCACAGGCAAGTCAAGCTGGGAGGACCAAGGCCGGGCAGCCGGGAGCACCCAAGGCAGGAAAATGAGGTACGTGCCAGGGGAGGAGAGGGCACAGTTCCCTTTTGGGGACCCGGTGTCAAATAGCAGGGAGGGTCTGACCTTGTCACTGGACAGACTCACCTGTGTGTCCTGCCTGTGGTAGAGAGGGGGGTTCTCATCAATTCTTGGGGCTCTGAGAAGGGAGCTGTGGGTGGGCTGGGTGCCTTCCCCAGGACTCCGGGAGACCTAAAACTTGAAACGGGAGACTTTGTGTAAATCCTGCTTCAGGCGCTGCTGAAGCTCGGATTTCTCCCACTGCCTGCGCAGGGTGCTGCCTGCTGGCGAATGTGACTCTTCTCCTGCTCACCCACAAGGCTGATTTTTCCGTGTTCCTCCTCTGGGAAGAGCATTGCTTTCTCTCTTCCAGCACTTTGTGAGTTAGATATGTGTTTGTGTGTTTATTCGTTCTGACCAGAAAAGAAACCAGCTTCCCATAGCTTGACTCTGTGGTTTCTTCAACCTTTACAAGTTTGCCAGTTAAACCTCAATTTAGAAAACTAAAAATCTGTCCCCATTTTACAGTTCCCTACAAATTTTCCGCATTTCTCATTGAAATCAGAGGCAGCTGGTGGCATGAATCAGGCTATGAAGTACACCAAATGGCTCTTAAAGAGATATCACACTTAAAAAAATAAATAAATAAAGGATTTTAGAGTTCTGAAATCGAGAACTTCACATTCTAATTGGTTTTAAACTCTTTAACCTTTCTTATTCCTCATTATACTTGACACTCCTTAACCAGACCTTTCATACAAGTTTTTTCCCGCAAGTCTGAAAACCCAGCCACCCTAGTTATTTTTATTACTTAAGTATTAATGCTGTTAAACACACACACACACACACACACACGCACAATGCTCTGCAGATGTGCAAAGTCCCTAAATACCTCTTTTACTATAATTTTCTTTTCAGTTGGGAAAGTGTTTTTATTTGTTTCTCTTCTGCATAGTAACCTAGCAACTTTTCTGGGTCTGAGACCAATGAGAGGCTTCAGACTATGTTAACTCTTTGAACTCCAATTACCTGTGGTTCAGAGAGATAACCAGGTCTTTAAAAAGTTAGTGCAATAATTCTGTTCTTTTTAAATCCATTGTAATTTTAAACCTGCCATTAAACATCATTTTTCTTTCTCCAAAAAAAAAAAAAAAATGGAATTTATGTCAATCTACGTTGAATGATCATCTCATTTATCTGTCAGTGATCTGGTCTGAATCCCACCCTACCATTCAGTGCCCCAGCCCATATCAAACTACTTGGCTAAGAGATAGTTCTGTATCATTGCATATGCTCATCTCTAAACTTGGAGCAACCTTCTTCTTTATTTTCCACCTAGAAGACCTGATTGTTCAAGCTGGCACAAATATCTCTCTCCTGACCACCATCTTCCAGAGTGAGCACCCCCTCCTTTGCCCTTTGTTCTGTCTCTGTCCCTTAAAGCTGCATCTCTTGTTGTCCTTGTAGTATGTCCTTGTTTAAATGTCCACCTCCCCTTACAAATCTCAGTGCTCCTTAAGTTACATGATCTATGTCTTCATGTTTGTATGGCCAGCACCTAACATAATGTCTATTTCCTACTAGCCATTCAGTACCTATTTGTTGAATTGAATTCAATTTTTGAATAGCCAAGCAACTACGAGATAAGCGCTCCGCTAGAAAAGTCTCCAGCAGGTCTTGTCTCACATGGATACGGTGTTTCAGTGTTTGCAGAGCACTTTCAAGAGCACTGTCTCACCTGGTTTTCAGATTCCAGATGAAGTAAGGATTTATGGATAAGTGGTGGGTATAAACGCAGTGAAGCAACTTGCCCAGACCACACTGATGATCATGAAAAGGTACAGATTCAAATTTGGGTCTTTGGGCTCCAAGTTCAGGATTTTTTTCTACTATATTCCACTAGACTTTCAGCCAAGCATATTATTCTAAACTGATGGCTCGTAATTCTGACTGTACATTAGAACGATCTGTGGTGCCTTAGAACATGCCAGTGCTCAGGCCTCACCCCAGACCAATTAAACCAGAATCTCCTGGGGAGACACTTTGGCATTAATATTTTTAAATTTTTCACATAAAGTCATGGATTTTTAAATTATTTTTCACAGAATTAATTGCTTTGGCCAGATGCCTGGGCATGATATGGGCACGGACCCAGCTTCTTCTGTGAGCTCTTGTTATTCCCTTCTTCTGTTGAAGTTATTCACCATATGGTATTGAGCATGATGTGACATCTCTTGGGGTCTCCTTTTCATCATCTGTCAAATTAGGGTGCTCTGTAAGGGATCCATGCAGTCCCTTCCAACTCTTCAATTCAAAAATGGAGTCTTGGTGTGGTGTGGGTTGAAACGAGGGGCGTGTACGGAGAGTGTATGGAAAAGAGAGCAAGCATCGTTCATGCCACGATCAAGATATATGCAGGCATTTTTACAGAGTCCTGCTAGCCTGTTCCTACAGTGGGACCTATAAAATCTCAGCTCTGTATATTACTTTTGACATTTCAGCAATGTAGCTAAACTTTTTGATTAGCCGGAGGATAGATAGCAGGTGTCAGAAACTATACAGCCGGTGCCTGGTATATAAGAAGCCAAAAACATTCAGAGAGTGTGACGAGGAATGAAAGCTGCCACTTATATTCTTCAATTTACAGCCCCTAACGCGAGCAGGCAAACATATGCTCAAGCCCATTACATGAAGGGAGATATTTGTTTCATATGTTTGAAACCGTTTTGAGATGCAAACAAAGTAGAAGGGAACGCTTCCTGGGCCTTCCTCCCACGCTGACCAGTTGCCTACCACACATGGCACCGGGTTTCTGGGCTAGACAGGGCTCTCTGCTGCCAGTCCTTGACAGAACCGGCCTGAGGAGGTTCAGCGTCTCCTCGATGTGGTCTGGAAAAAGCAGACATGGAGGAAGTTGACCTTTCAGCCTTGCATAATTTCGGTGTCGATATTATAGGGAAGTCCGGTTTAGGAACCAAAGCTCATTCCTGACTCTTGCTTTTCGGGAAGTAGCGCGATGGAATAATCATAACTAATGTTTGGTTAGGGCTAGACAGTTAACAAAATACTTCCCCATCCTCCTTTACTCTGATAGCAGTGCTGTGGGAAGTCATTATTATTACTACTTAATGGATGAGGAAACAAGACCTCCCATGACCTCCTAAAATGGAAAGGACAAATAAAGTCAAAGCTGGAGCTGAATCTAGCTCTTCTGACCCAGGGCCAGTGCTCTCCCCTCCTCAGGAGGCCTGAACCTGAACTCCAGCCCTGTTAACATTGGTTCATTTCCTCACTTGAAAATAGAATGCTTGGGCCCTGCCAACTGGTTTTTTGACTCAGCTTTCCAACTAATTCGCAGGTTAACTTGGACATATGCCTTCCCTTCCTTCTGCCTCTGAGGCCCTCCTTCCACAGATTGGTTTAAGAAAATATTGACATTGGCTATGGGATTAAGATATTTTGTTTTCTTCATAGAATGTCACATATTGCTACTGTAGGGACCTTGAAAAAAATTAAATAAATTTACTTTCTTTTCCTTGAAAGAATAGTACATGGTCCTTCTTGACAAATGTAAACATTTTATATGCATAAAAATAGAAATACTTATATTCCCATTTCAGAGATAACTACTGTTCATACCTTGGTGTATACCCTTTCAGACTTTTTGTACTTACCTATTTACACTTTATGTAAATATTAACATGACACCTGATTACCAAATATATCACTGTTAATCTGAAGATGCTGGTATGGTTTCCCAGCATTGACTTTTTAGGCTATCTAAGACTTAGGCCCCACTTTCATGGATTCATTCATTTATAATCTGTTATATATCAGACTCTATACTAGGACCTTTATATGCATCATCTTTCATGCTCATAGGAGCCTTATGAATTAGATATTATAATCTCCATTTTAGATCGGAGGAAACTGGGGCTCAGGGAGACTTGTTGCTCAAGTTTTCACAGTCAGTAAGTGGAAGGATTGGGACTTAAATCCAAGTACATTTCACTCCAGAGGGTGTGACTAAAGTAGTGCAATGTAGTGCAATAATAGAGAAATGTGCAGGGAGCCGTGGCTTGTGGAGGAGTGAAAGGATACTCCATAGCTGGGAAGCTCTGAGCTGGATGGTGGAGGACAAGCAAGACGATGGAGGATAAGTAGGTGAGGAGTGAACAGGGCACATGCAATGAGGCTGGAATGGAAGGGCATGGCATGGCCCCAGAATAACTGGGGGATCACAGGGCTGGCTACTGAGATGAGATGGGAAGGACAGATCAGCCAGATCAAAAGTGCCTCAACAGCCATCCCAGAAGCAGACACTTTACCCAGCAGACACAGTAGAACAGCATGGTCACCTCTGTTTTAAAAAATCAGCTTTGGCAGAAGACTGTTGGTGGGTGGGTCAGGGATATCTGTTAGGATGCTACAGCAATAAGTCGTGTAAGAAAATGTAAACTATGTAATTAACTGGAGAGGAGGAGAGATGGATTTTCAAAACATAGGAAGCAGAATAAGTAGGACGTGGTAACTATTGACTCGGGTAAATGAAAAGATGAACGGTTAAAGTTCAGGCCAGGGAACTGGTTGATGGTAATACCATGAACAGAAATCAGAAATGAGAGCAGGAAATGATAAGGAGAGGAGTGATGAGGCAGCTTCAGCACCATTAAGTTCAAGGTCATCAGACTTCACAGGGGAATCAGTCTGTTTGACAGAGGCCTGGTGTGGTGAATACTGACTGACCAGGAGGGCTTTGACCAGCCTTGGTCATTCTGCCTCGTTATTGCGTCAGCCATGGTGATGTGCTCTGTAAGTTTTATTGAATTTTCCTTGCCTCTTTTGCAACTCTTTATTAGTCCATTATCTCTGATTCCTACAGGAAATAAGTTGTAGGTTTTCAATCCTTTTACTAAGAGGAAGAAAACTTGCTTTGCTTATTCCTTCTTTATTAAAGATTTTACATACTTTGACTGAGTTTGTGGTGAAATACCATTTCAACATGTTAAATCTGTTTAAGGTACTACAGATTCCATCAATGCATTTAAGCCTCATCCCAGTATTACCATGTTATTATCATTTACTTTTTAGAAAAGAGAATCGAGAGTTTATGATTCTTAAATTAAGCCAAGCTGAAGAAATATCAACTTTTACCTAATTATGAAAGTTACATTTTCGACAGTAAAATGGAAGTGTCAGACTCCCAAATGTGATACTTTCTAGGAGTTTAAATTTAACACTATTATCAGAGCTTTGAATGAGCAAAACCAGAAGAAATGTTAGAAATTATCTAGTTACCATTTTCCCATAATACAGACCGAGGAGGAAGGTCAGAAGGGGAAAGGTAATTACAGCACGCCAGAGAGAGAGACATGCTGAGATCTTGCTCTCCTGGCTGTGATTGAGATGAATGGCGGAGGCCTGTGTTTATAAATGTAAGTAGACCTACATTCATGTCTTTCAGGTGGCTGCTTCTCTATTATGCTCTGTGCTTCTCCCTGTCAAAGGCTTCAGCCCACATCGTGGAGCTGAACGATATGTTTGGCCAGATCCAGTCGCCTGGTTATCCAGACTCCTATCCCAGTGATTCGGAGGTGACTTGGAATATCACTGTCCCAGATGGGTTTCGGATCAAGCTTTACTTCATGCATTTCAACTTGGAATCCTCCTACCTTTGTGAATATGACTATGTGAAGGTGAGACTCCTGGTGTCCCCTAACTGGGCCTGGCTCTCTGCTGGGATTTAGACAAGGCAGTATGAAACTAGACCCTTCCAGGGTGGCATATAGTGAGAGAGACACACAACATCACTATGGTAGGAATTCATGTCAAGGTGGAAAGTTAAGTGCAAGCTGATGGGTAGAACTAGAAAGGTCCATGAAGGAAACTGAAGCTGATGGAGTATGACTCAGCCCAACACAACATCCCTTCTTTCTTCCTGTTCTCAAAGCCTTTAATGATTCTACCAGTCTCTGTTCCAAGGTCACCTTTAATTCAGTGAGCAGAAAAGGGCAGAGACCTCGGAGTAAGCGGTAATCATGGAAACAGAACCATAATTATGTCCAAAGTTGAGGCATTACAAAGCAGTGTCCAATTTCCCCAATAATGATCAAGTATATGGGAAGTGCAGAGTATACAGTGGTAAAGAGTCAGAGATGAAGTAGGAAGGGTGCGTGGAGGGGACATTCTTAAGGGCCTTGAATGTCATGCCAAGGAGTTTGCATTTTATCAACAAAAAGCATGGGTAGGGAGGAGAGGGTCACTATCAGAAGTAGATGTAAAAAGTAAATATGGGGGAAGAGCAGGACCGCATCAAAACAATATACCCTGGAATTTAGAGAACCCCCCACAAAAAAAAATTTCCATGGCTGAGAAGCTGTTCTTCTTTTAAAGTGCGGCTGAAAAAAGTCAGACTATTTCTAAGGGATCAAGTCTATTGCAATTATATCTAGTTAAAAAAGATGTGGAGACCTAAGAACCTACCTTCTAAGCTCTCTCCAGCTTCCCGGAAGAGGTTCTCATCAAACAACGCTAGAGCATTTAGACATTTTTAGTATTATTGTACACTCATTATTCCATAACCAGTAATTCAACATGAATTAACCTTGTATTAATCAGAATATTTGGTCAACAACAGAGAAGTGAGTTTACAAGGTGCTTTTATAATTATAATCTCATTCAAACTTTAAAACAATTTTGAGACAGGAGCTATGACCCCATTTCACAGATAAAGAAATAAATCCAGGAAGGTTAAGCAACTCACCCAAGGTTGTACATCTGGTAAGTGACGGATTAAGCTCTCAAACCCATGCCTTGTGTTTTTGAAACACATGCTCTTTTGTCTACACCAAACAACTCCCAAGCTATTCTCCACTGAGCCTAGGATACAGCAGGGGCATATAAAGGCACTGTGCTTCCACTTATTTTATATGTAGAGTGTTGTCATTGTATATGTTGGGTCTGCTTGCAATGTCCCACTTACAATAGGTCTCTGCATCTAAAAATTTTCCAAAATTGGTGTTCCATGGTAGGGATTTTTAACCTCAGCACTACTGATATTTTGAACCAGGTGATTTGCTGAGAAAAGCTGTCTTGAGCATTGTGGGATTTTTAGCAGCACCCCTAGCTTCTATCCTAACTAGGTGCCAGTAGCAGCACCCCCCTCCCAACCAGTTATGGCAATCATAAATGTGTCCAGATATTGTTAAATGTCCCAGAACCACTGCTGTATGGGATGATGCCTCTTAGAATGCCCTGTGCTAGGGACAGTGGAAATATTAGGACACAAAAGATCTGGTCCCTTAGAAAGAAAGGTGAGCCTTGAAAATAGCCATTGCACAAGATAGAAAACAGTGATGGCAATGAAAGACTAACTGATAAAGAATGACAAAAGGTGGAACTGGTTGCTCTAAGAGAATGTAGATTGGTAATCTAGATGCAATTTCTATAAATTCATTAAAAATAGAACCAATTTCTCAGGGTCACAAGGATCAACCAAGAGGTCTTCACTGAGGCTATGAGTATGTATCATCCTAAACTGAACTTTCTGATGAAAAGGTTAGTTATGCCTTTCAGGATAAAAGGGTTAACCAGAGTTAAACTCCAGGATAAGATAGATTATAGGTGTGGGTCTTCAGGCTAAGTGGAATTTCCCAGCCCATTCCCCCAACTAATGTTGGTCACAAAATCATGACATTCTTTAATATTTTGATTGGAGTGGTCTTAACCGGAAGAAAAATGATCAAACCTTGGTTTAATATGACAATAAGTTCCATGGATTTAGACAAGGCTCGATATGAACTTTCTAACCATATTTTTCTCCACTTTCAAACATGTCAACCATCTAGAAATTTTGTCAGTGCCAATAGCTTTTATTGGTACCTGAGACTCAAGATCACAGAAATTATAGAATATTTTTCCTCAGTTGTAGCAATGACCTCTTCTCATAATTTGCCCCCTCTCCTCCTTAAGGTTTGACTCTTAACTTCATATTCATTGAGCAATTCTTTCTCTTAAGTTTGATTCTTTTTCAGATAGAAGACAAATTTAACCTTGTTAGATCTCCTTTATCAAGGTGATAAACACAGAAGAGAGGGTTTAGCTCTTTTCTTTGCTCCAAATAAGTGGAGCCTCCCAGGAAGGCAGATGAAGCAGCTGACATAAAGCAGCATTTTGTTAATGGGGAAAAACCGATGCTACTTTTCAAGAGCAATAATAAAATCTGAAGACCTCTTCTAACACTGAATTAAAGATATTGGAATAGACTTCTATCCAAAGCTTGGCTTTCTAGGCTACAGAATATTTTGGAAACTGGTTGATGGTTTCTATCTAGAGTGGTGAGACTCCTTCCTGAAACCACAAGTAGATGGACATGGGCCCTCTGGAAGAGGCAGTATGGTCCTGGGCTCTTACATGAAATTCAGAAAATTCCTTTTCTGGTCTCAGATCTGTCACTAACTCCCCAAATGACATGGAGTGGAGAAAAATATTATTTTACAGCATCCTCTCTGCTCCAAAATTAGACAGAAGACCTCTGGGCATAACAGAGAAGTAGTCTACTTGAGACAGCTTAGGGACTGAGCTGCCTACCTGAAGTGCCCTAAGGTCCTTGCATCTGCGAGTTGGGACATTTTTCCAGTTCCTTTGAAAGAAGAGAGTAACATGGTGGCGGCAGGAGGTGAGATCGATTTCTCCACTTGCACTTGCACAGCTGACTCTCTTCCAGAAAGCCACCCAAATGTCAGCATTAGCCTCCTGCAGAGGTTCCAACAGCCGTGGGGCACCAGCAGGCCTCACCTCTGCAGGGCGCTGCATGCTGGTTGGCTGACCACTGGTGCTCATGTGGAGACCACCCCGTGCCCCTGCCGACCCACAACCAGTGAGTTGCCCTCCTAGAACTGAGAACTCACAGAATGTCAGGCTGCAGGGGCCCTCGGGGACGCATCTCATCTTAAGTTGTGGTTTTCATATATGTTCTCCCCAGTACACATTTTCTTTTCTTTTTTCTTTCTTTTGAGACAGTCTTGCTCTGTTGCCAGGCTGGAGTGCAGTGGCGCGATCTCAGCTCACTGCAACCTCCACCTCCCGGGTTCAAGAGATTCCCCTGTCTCAGCCTCCTGAGCAGCTGGGACTACAGGCACATGCCACCATGCCCGGCTAATTTTTTGTGTTTTATTTTTTTATTATTTTTTTTATTTTTTTATTTTTTTTTGAGACGGAGTCTCGCTCTGCCGCCCAGGTTGGAGTGCCGTGGCCGGATCTCAGCTCACTGCAAGCTCCGCCTCCCGGGTTCACGCCATTCTCCGGCCTCAGACTCCCGGAGGCTGGAACTACAGGCGCCCGCCACCTCGCCCGGCTAGTTTTTTGTATTTTTAGTAGAGACGGGGTTTCACCGTGTTAGCCAGGATGGTCTCGATCTCCTGACCTCGTGATCCGCCCGTCTCGGCCTCCCAAAGTGCTGGGATTACAGGCTTGAGCCACCGCGCCCGGCCAATTTTTTGTGTTTTAGTAGAGATGGGGTTTCACCATGTTGGCCAGGATGGTCTCCACCTCCTGACCTCATGATCCTCCCACTTCGGCCTCCCAAAGTGGGATTACAGAGATGTGAGCCACCATACCCGGCCTATATTTTCTTCTTGAAAATCTTCAGTTAGGCCCAACATAGAGAAGAGACAGAAGTGAGCTGCTCTAGCTGTAGGTGGCCCTGCTTGCTCATCCTCCTTGGTTACCCTGAAGCACCTTGAGGGATTGTGACTTGAATCTTGCTGCTCTGGTCACGTTCCTATTGGACAGAGAGGAGGTCAGAGTTCAGAGAGAGGGTGAGCATTCTGCCTCTGAAATCCCAGACCCAGAAGTCTTCCACACTTAGTTGAAACCCACTGACTTTTTCTAATTGCCTGACCAATGCTAGCCCCTATCATATATGCTTTTTCTGGCCATAAATGGAAGAGAAACTCTTCCCTTTCCGTCTAAATAAAAGCGCAAATACGCCATGTGGCCCCCGGGTAAATCCATATCCCTCTCCAAAACTCTGTGTTTTCCTCTGTTCAGTGAGAGGGTGGAGTGAGATGATCCCCGTGGTCCTTTCAATTCTGGAATTATAATCCCAATCTTCCTCGCCAGAACTTCTAAGACGACCCCACCAAACCCTCCTTATCATAGTCAGGATAACACCAGAAAACAGAAATCTTATGTTTACAGCAGCTGCGTCTCAATGTTGCATAGCTGCAAGCACTCCAGTAGGAGCCTGCAGCCTGTTGGGGATGCCTTGGTGGTATGTCATCACAGAACTTGTAAACATATCATGCCAACACTGTCCTTTACAAAGCAACTTAAAATAACACTGACTTGCCTTTGGCAGGATAAAATTCCCTGTTTTAAGGCATTTTTGCTCTATGACTAAATTCTCCTCCCAGGCCTATATAGGAGTGGGTTTAAGAAACCTTCCAACTCACAGGAACATTTTCCAGCCAGCCCAACTCCACAAACTGCCCTTCCCACCCAGGCCCATCAGGGCAATGATGATGGAACTGCTGATACTGCTCATCAGTAGCCTGTAGAAGAGCAGGACCCCCAAGTCTGTGGTCCGGATGCTCACATTTATGAAAATCCCTCTCCTGCCTGATTTCCCACAGTTCTTGGTCTTCAAGACTCACGCACATCTGCACAGCAGCATCTGCTTCCTGGGAATGTTGCTGCAATGTTTAGATTGCTGTAGTGCACGGATGAGGCATACGAATCCAGGCTGGTTAATGCTGCAGGCAAGAGGCAAAGCACAGATGCTGGTCAGAGTCAGGCAGCCTGGGTCCTGGGTGTCATTCTGTACTAACTAACCTTGGGCAGATGACTACACCTAGAAGGAACTCTGTTTCCTCCTCTGTCAAATACAAAGGGTAAAACCAGATGGTCTCTAAGGTCTACTTTGCCTTGATATTCTGTCCATCTAAGATCTTAGAAATCATGATCCAACCCCATGATCATCATGTCCAAAGCCCAGGGAAGGACAATTCATTGGCCAACATCATGCTTGTATCAGAATTTACATCTTAAGATTCTCAGTCTTTTCTTCTAGTTATTTAACAGAGTTATTTAACAGATTAAAAAACAGCGAACTCCCATCTTGTGAATGACTAGGTTTTTATGTTGTAATATAAGACAAATATTGTCTATAGTCAAACTTACCGTTAAAAAAATCCCTTAAATATTGTAAAGCATTATCTTTTAGATGTCCAGAAAAGAATTTTTTTCCAGAAATGCGAGAAATTAAAGTTCCTTTGGTTGAGCACCAGAAGAAGTGGTTCATTTATACTTACAAAGAAACTGTGAAGCTATGGTTATGGAGAGAGTTTAGATAGTTAGAAACCAGAACCACCAAGAGAATAGCAGATTACACATTCCAATTTCAAGTTCATTTCATGGCATCTATTCACTGTAAAAGGAAGCATAAATTACCTGCATTTGGATACTCTCTTTTTTTCTCTTTATGTCACCATGTGTAATATTTCAATAGCATCTGTGGCATGTTTATGTAATGCAGTGCCACTGTTTTCCTTTTAACCCTATATCCTCGATGTATTTGACATTTCTTCCCGCCTTTCCACCGTTAGTTCCTTAGTTCCAATTCTTATTCCGCTCAACTAGTCTATTGTAATAGCCTTCTATATGTCTACCAGATGTCAGCCTCTCCCCATCTAGCCTACCTTCTATGAGTATCCAGAAGGATCTTCATCGAACATAGCTTTGATTATGCTACTCTAAAAATCTTTCAATGCCTCCCCGTTGTCTATGGAATGAAGCACAGTAATCCTATTGAAAATCTACCATAAGCTTGAGACCATGCCAAAGACTGGGTGTGCAAAGATCGGTAAAAAGAATTCTTCACAGTAAAATGAACTGTAAAGACCTCAAGGAATTCAGAGTTCCATAGAATGTGATGAAATAAGTGCATAATAAAGCCAGACAAAGTAACACAAGGGGTATCAGTCAGTATATACGTTTGGGAGTGGTCATTTCTAGATGGCCAGGGAGAGCTTTGGAAATACTTGATGTCTGAGATTAGTCTTGAGGGGTAAATAATAATTTGGCAGTGCAGTTCCCTAAGTAGGATTTCTTAGCAGAGCTACCATCAAAGCAGGGAGGTTGACGAGGATGGGAATGATGCAAAACTGAGAATAATCAGAGTTGGCATGCTTTGGGGAGAGGTAAAACCCAGAAAGATTATCTGAGGGTGAACTGAGAAATGTTTGGTAAATTTGGGTTTAAGCATGTGCTCCCAAAATCGCAAAAAAGTGGTCAAAGGTTGAATTAATTTCACCAATGAATTTTGTTAGCCAGCCTAATACTAATTTATACTATGATTTGGGGCCAGGGTGGGGAGTAAAAAAAGAAGAAGAAAGAATTACGACAACATAAAATTTCCAATCTCACACAACAGTCTACATTTCCAAATTATCTTAGAATATTAGAAAATCTGGCAAATCTTGCAGCTTCCTGCCTTCCAACAGCCAGCCAGCACCAGGAAGAGGTGGCCCTGCGGGTAGAGTCCCCACCATTCCCCATAACTCCCCCATACTAATGCTTTCTGGCCTCTTCATGGCACCATTGCTTCTTTTACAGTAAAGAAAGTGACACATTTTCCCCCAGTGTCTCTATCAAAAATAGGAAAGTTGAAAGTTCCTGAGAAAGACATGTGTTTCAGGAAAAATCTCTTTGCAGAGTGAAGAATATCCCTCTGTATTTAACATGCAAAGTATGTATTTCTGTCTAAAGAATTCATAGCAGCTTGTTTCACTCATGTTTTCTGCCTGGCATCTTTTAGCATTTGAGTCTAGGACCTCCAATTAGAAGCTGTGATGTCACGGAGGGAGGAGGCAGTGAGGTTCGGGGATGTGACACAATCAGGGATATGCTTGAGCAAGGTTAATCTGGAGCTACATAAGGGGCATCAAGGACTGGTAAAGTGAAAAGAAACTGGAGCCGCTGAATGAGGCCATTTAGGTGGCTGTGCTAAATAGATTGGATATGACTATGTGGAGCATAGTATACTTCAAGAAAGCCCACAGGCCTCTTGGACAGCTATGGAAGAGCAGGTAGGATGTGCAGAGGTAAACCCCACAGGAACTGGCTGCATATGGGAGAGGAAAAAGGAGGAATCAGATGCTTTAAGCTCTAGTTAGGACAACTTATTGGCTACTAACCCAGAAATTGAGATCAGGAACGTGAAGATGCGTAGATTTGGAAAGATATAGAGTGCACTGAAGTGCATTGAGTTTTGAATACAGCTGGAAATGCTGGTCTAAAGTTTGAGACAGAGCTTAAAGAGTTGTAAGAATGGGTGTGGGAAAAGCACAGAGACAGTGATGGAGAGAGGATTAACACATTGAGGATTAAATTCTGTTTCTGCCACCATCTGAGTGAGGAATCTTGGTGAAGCTCCTTGATCTCCCTCAGCACTGGTTTTGTCATCATTTGAAAGAAAGAGTTCCTAATGAATACAATGTCTTCCTCACAGGTTGTGGGAGGATTTGAGTGACATAAGGGTCTGAGAGGAATCAGTACTGCAAGCGCAGTTGTGCTCAGCGGTTGGGAGCTCAAACTTTGGAGTCATTCAGACCCATGGTCAAGTCTTGCCTCCACTTCTTACGGGAGCGTTTGCTTAACCTTGCCAAGATTTTCTTCTCCATCTGTAAAATGGAGATAATAATGATGTTTATTTCATAGGCTTACTGTGAATGCCAAATGAAGTAAATGCTTCAATGGCATATGTCTAACACATCTCTAATTAGCTCATAAGTACATTATAGTGGTAATGAAGGCAATGGGATGAGTAATAAAAGTGTCTGCCTGGGCCGGGCGCGGTGGCTCAACCCTGTAATCCCAGCACTTTGGGAGGCCGAGACGGGCGGATCATGAGGTCAGGAGATCAAGACCATCCTGGCTAACACGGTGAAACCCCGTCTCTACTAAAAATACAAAAAAACTAGCCGGGCGAGGTGGCGGGTGCCTGTAGTCCCAGCTACTCGAGAGGCTAAGGCAGGAGAATGGCGTGAACCAGGAGGCGGAGCTTGCAGTGAGCTGAGATCCGGCCACTGCACTCCAGCCTGGGGGACAGAGAGACTCCGTCTCAAAAAAAAAAGTGTCTGCCTGATATCATCAGATGCTCAATGAATGTCACTTTTCTCATCAACTCTGACCCTACCACTGATTAGCTGTGTGTGGCCTTGCTAATGTTACTCAGTTTTTTCTGGCAATTTGTAAAAAAGTGCTTCCAAAACACTATTCAAAAGCTGGGGGTTATTTCTCCTTTGTATTTACTGTGTAGAAACACAAATTTTACAGCAGTTTTTAATCTATTCACTCATTTGATTCTTATGGAATAGGAAGAGTAGGGATTATTGCACCGAATTTACAAAAAAGGAAACAGGTACAAGTGAATTTGCTCAAGTCTCTGCAGGAAAGCCAGGTTTGACTCCCTGCTCTTCTAACTCCCCGAGTCATGGTTCTGTCTGTCTATGGAGGCTTCCTCAGAATAGGCTTTATTGTGGAAGGGGCCCTGTTAAGTTTCCTGGCCATGCATTATTCCTAAAACAAGGTTGTGGGAGAACCTTGTTCTCTCCTACTTGTCAAGATAATTTTATAAAATTTGGTAAAACAGAAGGTCCTTGAGGGGCCCTATATTGTCTAGATTATTTTAAATAACTTTCTCGTTTATCCTTTGAGAGAAAAAAGTGTTTTTTAAAAATAATAGAAAATGGAGTCTGAACTACAATGAATCGGCAAGTGCTTGTATTATCTGCTTGTAGTGCGTAATTTCTAATGATGAGCTCAAGTTCATTCCCACTAGATTGCCAGCCCCATGAGTTCAGGGCCTATGTCTGTGTTTTCTCCAGTAGAAAGCACAGTCCTGGGCAGAACAGGAAAAGGCACATGTCTCCTGGCAGTGGAAAGGGCTCTGGCCTAGAAAACAGCTGCTGACTCCTGCTGAGAGCTTGGGCAAGTCACGTCTTCATTCAAGGCCTCAGTTTCCCCATCTGCCTGATGAGGGAACTGGACCAGCTGGCCTCTCCAAACCTTTCCGGTTCTGATGGTCTGTGACTCCCAGTCCAATGCCCCTTCCCTCAGGCCACATGGGGTCAGTCTGCATCCTGCTGTGTAATTGAGAGGTAAGTCGCTCCCAAGGGGGACTCTTCTGACCCCTAAGCTCCTAATTTCTGTGCAATGCTCTGTGTTTACTTAGAACATGCCCTCGACCTTCCGGCTGAACTCACTTCACCTACTGCAGTAACTCTGCTCAGTCTCTGGGAGTGGACAGAAGGCCTTGGCCCCAGAAGGAAATGAGAAATGGGTAAACATTTCTCATGAATTTCAATTGTAGTCTCCAGTGGAATTCTCCCACTCCAGAGACACAGGGTCCCAAACAGCAATTCTAGCTGACTCAGAAGAATTAGAAAATGAAAATAAGCTTGCATCAGGGAAGTGTGATGAAAGCTCATTTCATGCCGAAAGTGCAAACAGCACAGGCTTCAGGGTGATGGAAAACAAAAGGAAGCTCCCAGTGCTGAGGCAGAGAATGTGGGTGAGTGTGAGGTGGGAATGTCCCAGGTGTGGGTGTACATGGGGTGCACATCTCTGTGCTTGAGTGTATTACACGCTGCTCTTCAAAACACCTTGGTGAAGAGCAGTGCCTGAATTTACTTTGATATGTTTATAAAGGGAAAAGTTAGGGAAGGAGAGGTGTTCATTTATTCAACAAATA